TCTATTTTTGTAGGCCCGCAGCCCAGAGAAGTGACCGGTCCTGATTTTTGCGAGTAATGACTGGTCACTGCGGGACTTAATAAGAGCCTCTCGTTTTTAGGAAAATGCCCTGTATATTTCCTTCGTCTGCGTGTAGCATATAGGGGGATCTTTTGTAATGAGTTTTATCTGGGCGCACGCACTTTCATAAGTAATTTGGCGGCCTAGACCCGGCAGTGCTGTTGTCAGTTTGGCATTACTGTCAGCGAGATCTTTGCCGAGGATATCGCAGTGACCAGGGATACACTGAATCGTGGGTTGAGGTATTGCATTATTTATGAGTAGTCGCATTTGGTCGAGGAATGGTGATGTTCCCACTAGTGCCATGCATAACGATCGACTGTCGGCGAAGATAGCGACCGAGTTGGATGCATCGCACTCTTTGTCAATCCAGTCAATGGCATTTCCAAGGCTCTCCTTTCTTTCTCGAAAGAGCACGTGAATATGGCGCCTTTCTCCCTCAACATCTCGACAACAGTAGGGTTGGACGAGTTCCCCGTTGTGATGACGACTCCAGTGCCGCCGTCCGTTGTTCCTGCCCTAGCCGAGCCGTCAATGTAGATATTGTACTGTGCGCCAAGCTCTCGTGCTCGACGAACAGCAGCGCTATGAATCTTCCCACTGGAGTCACTCCTTCCGCTTATGCCGTACAGGTGGGGGAAAGCAATGTCGGGCTTGGTTCCCCGTTCCCAGGGCCTGGTTTCGAAATAAGTGATGGGCCTCCTCTCGCTGTTGAACAGATGTGGGCTCTTTTTGCTGACGTCTTCGGCCCTTTCTCGGAAATCTCTTCGTCCCTTTAGGCGTCTGTGCACTTGTTCCGTTGTCGCAATACGTCGAGGGTGGTCGTTGTTCAGTCGGAGGGCCTTCTCTCTTGATCGGAGACAGTTAGCATTTATGGTGGACTGAATGCTTGGGACCCCCGTTGCAGCTCGAAGTGCCTCGATCGGTGAGGACTGGGCTTGGGTGGTGATCAGTCACAGACATCTGTTTTCAACCACCTCCAGATTATTTATTAGAGTTTTGCTCAGCCACGGTTGTCAGCTGCTGTTCGCAAAGTTGACGACACTTTGTATATGGGTGAGGTAGACCTTGTGTAGGTCGTCTTTCCTCCATCCCTATTTTGAGTGCGCTACAGCGCAGAGCATTCTCATCTTCTGTGTGGCCTTAGCTATTACTGTCTCAACCTGTTTCCTGAACGTGAGCCTGCGGTCGAGTGTGACTCCCAGGAGTCTTGCGTAGGGCTCATACTTAATTGTCGAATTATTGATCGTGATGCATGGCTTCCATTCCGAGTCAGATGTTGCGAGCGTGAAGAATGTTGTCTCGCTCTTCGAGCCGTTTAGCATGAGTTTCCATCGCCTGTTCCAGTCAGCAACGGTGTCCACCGCTCTTTGTGCCAGAATTTCGGCGTCTCGTGTCGTGTGTGATGAAGCGAGGATAGAAAGGTCGTCAGCGTAGAGTGAAATTGTGAGATCATCCGGAAGTAGTTTCGCCAGTTCGTCGATATAAAAGAGGAAGAGGGTGGGTGCAAGGACAGAACCCTAGGGAGTCCTTGGTTCATTTTCCTGCAGTTACTCAGTATTCCCTTGAAACGGACTCTGGCTTGACGATTTTGAAGGAAGTCATTCAGCCACAAAACGTATGTATCTGGGATACCTCTGTCTAGAAGGGTGTGGAGTAGGCGTTCTCGCCAGACTGTATCGTATGCCTTTGAAAAATCGAGGAGGACGAGTAATGATTTCTCCTTTTTTTTTGGAAGCCATCGGAAATCTTCTGCGTAATTTTCAGAATTGTTTTGTTATTGTAGTGTTTTTGTTTGTTTTGTTTTGGGGTTTGTTTGGGTTGTTTGTTTGTTGGGGGGTTTTTTTTTGGGGGGGGGGGGGTTCGGGTACAAGTGGAGAGTGTGACAGTTCTTGTAAAGGAATGTTTGAAGGTAATCTATCATTATGTTTTGTTCATTTTTGACTCACTGACCCCGAATTAACAAAAGTTCTTTTGCCTTTTTTCAGTACGCTTTTTTTTACCGTTAAGTCGACAGGTTCCAGTTTTTGTACCCAGAGACTTAGACAGAGTATTGTGTAACATTTATGTTGAAATCGAGCAGCAATTTATCTAGTTTGAGGGCTTTTTGCTTCTATGGTCAGAACAAAAATAGCCTAACAAAACAGGCAAACAACACCAAATTTCCCTGTTTCAAAAAGGCTTCCAATGTCTGTATTTAAAAAAAACAAAAAGGCAGGAAGGAGAGAAGAGAGGAGACAAATAAATCTAAGTGTTTTTACGCCTCCCTCGACACAACTTAGATCATATAGAAAGCGGGCTTTTGACCCTGCCTGCCAGGACCAATCCGGACAGAAAGACCGAGATACTGGATAAAAATTCTCCCTACACGAGAATCGAAAGCGAGTCTCCTGGGTGCGACGGCTGAGCGTCTAACGTCTACACCACAGAGGAGAGGAGAGAAAAAAAATGGCGAAGATGTGGGAGGGAGAGGTATGGGACAGAGAAAAGATGAGAAGGAAAGAGAGGTAGGAGTAACAAGTAAGTAAGTAAGTAAGTAAGTAAGTAAGTAAGTAAGTAAGTAAGTAAGTAAGTTTATTCAGTGTTTAAGGCCATTGACCCTCATCACACCATAATAATATGAAACACTCATTTTAAATAAAGTTTCCGTAAAATGGGAAAAATACAGGTAGTGCACATATCTCCTATCATGGGTCAAACATTGCATATTTCTGTCACAAAAAAAGTACTCACAAGAGGATCATGTAGATTTGTTCAAACGCCATACACATCTCTATCCCGAAGAGAGCGGCCACCAGTAGAACTTGAACCACGAGCCGTACGCGTTTCTCCGGGGTGGGCGTGGCTGGCTGGGGGAACTGCTTGTTGAGCTGCTCGTTGAAGATGGCGGAGGCCTGGAACGACTCGGACATCGACAGCTGGCTCGCCATGGTCGCTCGCCTTCTCCTGGCTGGTCGGTGAGTTGGTGATTGGGGGGGGGGAGAGAGGCTGGGTCAGAGCTTAGTTTTGTTTATTGTGGGTGTGGGTGTGGGGTGGTGGTGTTGCTGTTGTTGCAGCAGTTTATTTACGCATTTGTTTGTTTTGGTTTTGTTTCGTTTCGTTTTGATTTGCTTTGTGCTGTTTTTTTGTTTTGTTTTGTTGCTGTTTTGTTCTTGTTTTGTGGGGTTTAGTGGAGTTGTATTTTGGAGGTTTTTGGTCGTTGTTGTTTTTGTTTGGGGGGTTTTTTGGGGGGGTGTGGTTTTGTTTGTTTGTTTGTTTGTTTTGCTCTTTTTGTTTTAGATGGGGGGTATTTTGTTTTGTTTTATTTTTGTTTGTTTGTTTGTTTGTTTGTTTGTTTTTTACAGTAGTGGGTTGTCGGTTTCTTGGGGGGATTTTGTATTATTGTGCGGAAGTCACAGCAATGCCAAACCCTTGCTCTAGTTTTCCAAAGGGCGCACTAGATTTGCTCCGGCCTACACTTATTTATGAAGTGTTGCGGACATTGGACGACAGTGTACTGCCGAGATATTTTAGTTATTTTAGTAGAGGGTTTAACCGCGCTCGCAACTGCATAATGTCATATGAGCGCCAAGAGGTGGGTGTCAACAGAGAAGTCTTACAGGGAATCAGACTTACTCTGCTCACCTCTCTAGCTTCAACAGCACAAAGTCTGCTTTGACTATCAAGGCACCCCGGAAATAGTAGGTCACAAGAGTGTAACAAACATACAAAAGAAGTAGAGGAAAATGTCAATAGTAAGGATTAGGAAAGAGAAAGCAACAGTTCCCTGACAGACTGAAATTGAGCTTCTGCTGCGCTTGTTGTGAGTCCAAAGTTCTCGCAATGACTTGCATCTTTTTTTAAATTATCAACGCAGTATTTCACACTCGATTTTTTCTATTTACAATCATCGGAAACTACAAATTCACAGACATGCACCACGCTCGTTTTTTTTTTTGTTTTTACCTTCAGCAGACGAGAATTAAAAACTAAAATGTCCAGTCTGTCCCTGATACCAAGACCAGCAGGAGAGCTCTTTGACAAATAGTATAAGTTTAACGCGCCTGTCAACACTATTCGTTTATTTAAGAGGCGGGACCTAAGAGTTTGAAGTCCATTTCCGAAACGACCGAGCCAAATGGGAAATTCACGTGAAGTGCCTTTCCAAAGGACACAACGTCGGACCGTGTTGAGGCTCGAGCCCACGAACCCACAATCTCACGAATACGGGTCCCAGAGCCTAGGTCACCGACGCTAGGAGAGCTCTGAAAGGTTTCATGAATCTTTGCTGAAAAGTAGAAAAGTGCAGGTGTCGACACACAACCCTAGTTTACTCCATTTGCCAAACAAAAGGCAACAGACATACTACCAACGATCTTAACACTGGCTTTCACGCTGCTGTGAAATTAGCTAACCATAATATCTGCGAACTTTGGCGGGCAACCGTACTTTGCCAGGACCGCCCATTGGCTTCCCCAACTTATGGTATCAAAGGCCTTTGCCAGAGAAACAAATGGCATTATATGGATTTATTCTACTCCTTTTGATGTGAATGTGGAAGTCGCACTGACTTTCACGTAAATCGTAATTTGAGGAGGGATCCTTTACAGGCGTTTTAGAAGAATTCGGAATTGTATCTTACAGGCTGCAGACAAGAGAGGTATGCCTGTGTCACAAGATTGCCTGTCAGCTTTGTTTTTATAATGGTGAGTAATGGCTGCAATACTTCGAGATCCCCACATTCGACAGATTATTTCTGTCTCTGTCTCAACAAGGTCTCTATCAAAAGCAAAGACCTGTGCCAGAAAAAGAATCAGTGCTATGAGCCTTATTGAACAACATAGCATTTTTGACACCTCTGGTTTCTTTGCTCTTTGATAGATAGCTGAAAGAGGTGTTCAATGGGATTAGAGAGAGGTATTCAATTAACTGATTCAGAATCGATTCTTGACGGTCGGTTT